CAGAATTTTATCTCCAAAAATAATAACTTTCAAAAACAAAGATAAAACAAAGACTTTTCAAATAAAAATTGATAATTTGCCATGAGCAGAACTTACACTATAAGAAATGCTGAAGAATTTTCTTTAGGTTGAAGAAAAATAATGACTAAAGAACTCAGATCTTCAGGAAAGATTGAAGAGCAGAAGAAAAGATAAATAAGTAAATGCATTTAAAAGAATATCCTTTTTTTCTCCCTTAATTTCTTTAAAAGACAACTGCATTTTTTGTTTTAGAATTTTGTATTGACAAATTATAGTTGTATCTATTTATGGGGTTCAAAGTGATGTTATGATTTTTTAATACAGCATGGAATGTTTAAGCTAATTAATGTATTAATCACCTCAAATAATTAACATTTTTGGTGATAAGAACATTCGAACTTTACTCTCTTAGCAATATTGAAATGTACAGCACTCAATTATTACCTATAGTCAGCATGCTATGCAACTGATATCAAAAAAATCAGATAAGGTTGTATCATGGGTTTTATAGTGTATATGGATTTGACATCTATAACAATAATCGCACAGAAAATGGGAATAGATAGGATCATGGGGTTAAGCTCTAGCATTTTAAGTCAGCTGGACTAAATATTAGCTCTAAGTGCTGTGATAACTTAAAGATGCATATGGTAATTATACGTAAATTACTAAAAACAATCCACATAGGTGTAGCTAAAAGCCAAAAATAGATAAATAGGTCGGGTGCAGTGGCTCATGTCTGTAATCCCAGCACCTTGGGAGGCTGAGACTGGAGGATTAATTGAGCCTAGGGGTTCAAGACCAGCCTGGGCAATAGAGCAAAACACCATCTCTGCAAGAAATACCAAAGGTAACCAGGTGTGGGAGCACATGCCTGTAGTGTCAGCTACTCAGGAGATTGAGGTGGGAGAATTGCTTGAGCCTGGGAGATCCATGCTGCAGTGAGCCATATTTGTGCCTCTGTACTCCAACCTGGGCAACAGAGTGAGACCCTGTCTCAATAAATAAATAAATAAAGACTTAAAATGGATTGCTAATAATAAATAATTAACTGACTTAAAGGGGTGAAGAAAAGAAACCTGTGCATTTCACTGTGTGTAAGGTTTTACTTTAATAAAACAAGGAAAAAAAATATTCAAATGAACAAAAACAGACCCTAGTGGATCCCAGAATATTGGGAATGTGATTTAGAAATTTATAACAATTCCGCCCCCTCCCAACAATCGTGATGATCATCTATGTTTGAAACTATTAATGTAGACAGATCTTACCAACTTTCCTGTGGTTATGAAAAACACAAAGCCTCTTACAAGGCTGTTCTCTTGTTCATACAGACACATCACTCAATTGTGAGAGCAGCAGGAACCTCAGACTTGTCAGCTGGGGGAAGCTGGATGTGGCCTAATGGTCTCTAAGAACTATGTTATCAAAATGACAGCAGTTATGAAAGCCTTGGATAGCTTAACAGCTTGCTATTTTCTTCTTTATTCTTACACACTTCTTGCTAACTTTTATCTTCCTTCGATTTGTTTTTTATAGGCATCTGATGGAGAGACAATTATCATAATCTGACACTTCCATTTTTATAGGAAAAGAGACTGGCATGGGGAATATCAACGTCCTCTGTCAACTCAGATATTTACGGCCTAAGCACATTTAGCACTGAGGTTTTAAGGAGACAAGTCTGTGGCATATACATTATTTCTATAAATCCAGTGCTTTGAGGAAGATGGAGAATCTGTCAGAAATGTAGAGAGCCCAGTGAGACCTGCAGTACATCATTGGGCAAGTCATGAGAGATTTGATGTAAAACTGTTTCTCGTTCCTCTGGATCACCTTCCATTGTGTTGAGGCAAATAAGAAGGAAACTCTTCAGAAAAAATACTGATTTAAAATCAAGACAATAATTTATAGTGCCTAGTGTGGAGATTACATGTGAAAATCTCAGTGTAGATAAAAGTGTATAATTTGTAGATTATAAATACACATTTAATGTAATATAAAGAAAATTTTATAATCATTTTAGAAACATGAATTTTTTTCCAAGAAACCTCCAGGATGGTGGATAACGTTTCATATTCTTCAGGTATATAATCTGATCAAAATCCTCTAATTTCATAATGAGTATCCTGATTGAAGGTTATTTCTCCTAAATTTCTCCACATCTGACTCTCTGAGTTGGAATTTTTTTTTTTTCTTTCATTCAATACTTATTGGGCAACTAATGTGGTCTAGACTCTGTGATATCCTGTGAGGATACTATCCCTGCCTCACCTATCTCAATCTAATGAGAGATGCAAACAATTTAAGAGACAGTTGGGAGATCCTATATTAAGTATTGTGATGGGGAAGTACAGGTACATGGGGAAGGTTGCGTAACTCAGAGCAGAAGGAAATCTTCCTGAGAGATGTGTTCTCTTAAGGCAAGGCTTAAGGAATGATTAAGATCGGGAGGGTAACATGGGAAGAGGATGAAGTACAGGATCCTGCTTCAGGAAGAAGAACAAACATGTGCAAAAGCCTAGAGGTGGGAACGGGCATGGAAAATTCAGTAAACCCAACATAGCTCAGGCTATTGAAATATTGGGTGGGATAGAATGAGAAGGTTAAGAGAGAGGCTTGTGAGGAAAGCAGGTCCCAGATCATGAAAAATGTGTAACTGATATTTAGGAATATGTAGTTTATTCCAGAAGCAACTAGAAGTCATTAAAGTGCTTTCAAAGAGGGAATGGCATGGCCATATTTGCATTATAGACAGATAATTCTTGTTGCAGTGCAGAGAATGAGTTGGGAAGGGAGTTTGGAAGCATTAGGATCAGGAAGGCCAGTGAGGATATTACTGAGTAATCTGTGAGAGGTAATGGTGATCTAAACTGGGGTGGTGATAATGGAAATAGAGAGAAGAGTGGAGATTCTTGGAATATTTAAGAGGCATAATTGTAGGACCTGGAATATAAGAGAAGAAGCATTGAGGTCTAAACTGAGTTATAAAGGATGTGAATATCAAAGGAATTTCATAGAAGTGGATTCAAAAGAGCTAAGATTGCTATGAAGTAAAAATTAAGATTTAATGGAAGTAACAGAATGAAAGGGCTGGAAGAGTAGCTGGAAGAGTAAGAATTTGTACTCAAACAGTGAACTTTCAGGTTAAGATTTCAGAGGTGGAGAAATAACAGGTGATGATAAAGCCCAGTGTATGGTATTGAGTGTCTGTAACTAAAGTGGAGTGGAGGTGAAGATCACTAAGATCACTGGAGACAGAAAGCCAAGTAAACAAGGTGTAGTGCTGCATGAGATTTCCACTTTTTTTTTTTGAATTGTAAAATGAAGATTGAGGCAGAATCAGAACCTGAAGCTTTCACTGAAGAGAATTACTAGGAGGTCAGTTCATGAGAGAGTTAAGAAGGAATAGAAGTTTGTATAGACTAAACGACATCATACTAAATGAACTTGTCTCTATTACTCAGAAGAAACAGAAAAATTTCCTTCAGTGACATTCTTCTGACATCTCCCAGATGGAAACTCATTAGTAGAGTAGTTGCTCTTACCCAAGTTATATCTTTGACATCTCTTTACCTGAGTTAACCTCTGCTGATTCATCACTTTATTATTCCTTTAAATTCCAGTTCTCCCGATGTCCTACCAGTGGTTTCTCCTATCCTAACATTAACAGCCCTTTGGAAATGTGTGCAAGTATGTGTGCCTGTGTGTGTGTGTGTGTGTGTGTGTGTGTGTGTGTGTGTTCATATGTGCTGAGTGGAGTTAAAGGTCATTCTACCTGTACAGTTTTGTGTCCCGTTTTTGCTTCATAGAAGTGATGATCCTTTGGCTCCAAAAGAGAAACAAAAATGAGGCATGTGCTGTGTCAGCTGAATATGCAACGGACATAGACAAGCACCAAAGATTGAAAAGTAAAGTTAGAGGATCACAAAGAGCAGCGTTGGGAAGGAGAGATGTTGAGTCTCTACCCTGTTTTAGATAGATGCTGTATTTGAGATTTTGGATTTTCAGGACTTCACTGGAGCCAGAATGAAACTATAAGTTTGCAGGAGTTAGTCTTTCTATTAACAAGTGGTATGGGGCAGATGAAAGTGGGATGGAGAGACAAACCAGGATTTACAGATGCAACAATCATGAGGGCCTCTCATTCCAAAAGTAGATGCTATAAAATGGGAAATTCAGGGTCTTCTACCTGACTGCAGACAGTGACATCATTGAGAGCAAAAAATTATAGCTTACAATTTCTTTGCCCTTAGGGGCCCCTGCAATTTCATTATAATGGTTTTAGGTGTTAATCGTTTTCAGCTTGGGATTCATAGAGCTTCCTGAATTTAAATACTGATGTCCCTTAACAGTTCTGGAAAAGCTTTAGCCGCCATCTCTTCCAATGTCTCTGGTATTCTTTCTGGAACTTTGAATAGCTGAATATTTCTTTTATTCTGTCATTTACTTTTCTTACTCGTTCTTTCACATTCTGGATAATTTCTTTTCCCTGCAGATTCAATCATTCGCTTTTCAGCTATACATCTGCTGTATAATCCTTTCTCTGGGTTTCTTTATTTTAAGGTTTATCTTTTCAATATCTTGAAGTTCTGTTTTTTAGAAAACTAAAGCCAGGACTAACTTAACTTAAAATTTCCCCTCAAACTTTCTTCAGACAAGAAAAATGCTGATAATTTGAACTAAAGACTCACGAGAAAGCTTGATAATGTTTATAAATCCTTTAAGAAGGTATCCAGTTCTGGACAGACGTATTTCTTTGTGATCCTTTTCTAAAGGAGAGGATTTACTTCTCATTCACCTTTGCTCCGATGGTTTAGTACTCTGGGGTCCACGCTGTATTAAGGCTTTACGCTTTATCTCCTTCCTCCTTCCACCCCAGTCCTGCCATGGGGTTGTCAGAAACTACTGAGAGCAAAGCAAATTTTATCATTTACTGCCCAGTGTTTCTGCTTTCACTTCAGAGTCAGGCTCTCTACTCCTCAATTTTGAGCCAAATCAGCTAGGCATGAAAAAAGATGTTCTGATGGTATAGCTGGCACTCTTGTTTCAGTAGGAGGACCACGCTGGGTATCTAACTTGAGAGACGTTCAAGTGAAGCAGGTGGAAGTCTGCTTCTGAGAGAGAAAAGATACAAGGGCTTCCTGAGAGTGATGGTAAAAGTTACCAGAAGTAATGGGAGCAGAGAGGGTTTGTATCAAGGCTCCTGAATTCACGCAGGATGAAGCAGAAATCTACTCCTTGACAAACATGGAGGTATGATCAGAAACTTAAGACAATGGCAATAAAGAGAAGGCTGGCTTATGTCAAAGAAGCATGATGTGTATCTCAGAGAAAGAGTACATTTTATAATGGAGAGCAAAATACTTCTCATCAGCAACAAGACAGAGCTCTGCTCTAACGTGTGTGTGTGTGTGTGTGTGTGTGTGTGTGTGTGTGTGTATAATGCATTTATAAGGTTAAAATATCATTTTGTTAAAAGTTAAAAAATGCCAATCATACTTACTAGAGCAAATGATAAATTTGAATGTTGTTTCTTAATTAAATGTTTTCTATTCCTTGGGAAATAAAGAGAATTGCGAAAGCAAAACCAAAAACAAAGGAAGAAACAACAGTGGAATCTACTTATCATGGGAGGTAAAGTGGAATTGCAGGAGTGCTTTATCCTTGGGGGAAAGAGGAGAGGGATAAAGTGGGTGGTTGGAATTATAAAGGAGAGAATGGGGACAATAAGGACAGGAGTATTAAAAGAAAAACTTCAGCCAAATTCTATGTAAAGGAGTTTAATCGAGCAATGAACGATTCATGAATCGAGAAACCCCCAGAATCACTGCAGACTCAGAGAGACTCCAGGCGTCTCTCATGGCCAGAACAAAGTTATAGGCAAAAAAAGTAAAGTGAGGTACAGAAATCCAAAAAGAGGTAAAGAAACAGCTGGATTGGTTACAGCTTGGAGTTTGCTTTATTGAACGCAGTTTGAACGCTCTGCAGTGTATAACTGTTTGAAATATGGCTGCAGGGATTGACCAAGACTTCATCCACAAGGACACAAATATAGAAGTATGGAGTCCTTCTCAGGCCATATTTAGTTTGCTTTAATAGGAGATAGAAATGGCAGATAATATAATGGACAAAAATGAGAAAGAATAAATGTCAGATTATATAAAAAGGAAGAGAGACTAACAGAAAAATACACAATAAAGATGCTTGAAAAACTGAGATTACCTGAGAGATTACCTGAAGAAAAAACTAAATAGAACAAAGAAACGTGGAGATGAGGAACAGAAAAGAAGAAAAAGAGAAAAAAAGAAGAAAATGGAAATCTTGAGAAAGGAAAGGAAGTGCAATCAACAACTGTGTGTCTGTGACTTTTGGATTACTTGTGAGGTTGTAGATATATGTCTCCAAACAACATGATTTCCAGCCTTCGTGGGCACATACTGATTATCCATTGACTTCAGTGTTTCTCTCCTAATAATATAGAAAATTCGAGCAAAAGAAGAATAGTGACCTTCCCATGGGCAGTGAAATGAACTTTCATAAATATTTACTTACAATTTATTGGTTTGTATAGGATTTGACTTCCTCTTTAAAATAATTTGAATGACTTAAAAATGAATCCCTTGAATGACATGTTATTTGAATAAACACCTAAAAGAAAAAAAAAATTTCTTACTTTCCCCTAAACTGGTATTGTTTAGATTCCTGTATAGGCAGGCCCTGTGAGATTTTAGTCCAATTTGTGACACACAATTAAGAGAAACATTAAATCCATTTATTTGAAGGAAAATAAAATCCCTCACTTAAAATCTGATTCTTGCATGAATACAAGGCTATGTACTTGAGAGTATTTTGAGATATACTCTAGGTTTGCAAATATGCAAAAAAGAATCACTTGAAGGATTTCCCACATACATGTGTTAGTTTTGGATGATGTTAACTTCATTCAAAATGTGTGATGATGGTTCCCTCAAAACTAACTTAGATTTAAGATGACAACATTAGCATATATCTAACTCCATCTATGCAGATTGCCATTAAAATGACAAAGTGGTTATGTAACAAAAATAAAAACATTTTTAAAGGAAAATAAACTCTTCACCAGTGCAGTTAAATATAAAATAGTGACAGTCACTCTTCAGAAACATTGGGAGATTTCTACCCCATGTAAAGCAAGTAGAAGAGGAGCAAAAGTAGAGCAAATCTAACCTGCCACCTCATAGCAAGTGTATCTGGGAATAAGCGGAGATCTCACTGTAACCTTTGGTGCTCACCATCTGGGGAACTGGGACCTTATCTGGTGCCCAGGACACAATGACCATGGTGCATACTCCTGACTTAATGTTTTCCACGTTACACACACACACACACACACACACACACACACACCCACCCCTATCTTAGATACTTTTGGGCTGTAAATCCAAACAAAGAAAATAGTATCTCCAAATGAAAAGTGTGCACCTCCTAATTTCCTCCAATCTATTGGATCTCTTAGCTGGTCACGATTTATCCTTTTTCCTCTTCCTTTGGACCCAACTGATGCAGAAAGGGATCTATACCAATGCCTGATAGACTCTATTTCAAGCATAATTCTCCTTTTCTACGATGGTATAAACAGAAATGAAAAAGTTCATTTTCAGAATTATAAAAATGCATTCCAATTTGTAAGAAAAGTATACATATTTTTCTCTTACAAACAGGAGGAAATTTTAGAAACTTTTTTCCCATTTTGTTTAATAAACATGTATCATAACTATAAGTAATATTCAAAATATTTTCAATACAGCAACCAAATGATACCTATTCAAAATCATCTAGGATATCTCTCTGTAGTTCCCTCCCTCTTTATGCTTAAACCCACAGGACAGCATTGGAATCAAAGGATGTGAGTTCAAGTCTTGGCTCTTCAGAGTCCATCAGGTAAGTCTTCTCCAAAATGTTGTTTAGTACTTTCATCTTTAAAAATGAGAAAAAGTATTCTGAGTTATTATGTGCAGTTAATATGAAAATTATATACAGTGACTTAAAAATGCTTATCCCGTGGAAAGTTCTAAATACATTTTACTCTCCTTTTTTTCTTCTCTTTTCCTTCTTTCCACCTTCACCTTTTTGATTACTATTTTTTTCTTCTCTACCTCATAACTACATTATATACCTATATATACATATGTGTATATATATAGAATTTTCTTACACCCATCCCATTATCTATACTGAAGCCTTGTCATTTAAGTTAATCTATGCCCAGATCTGACCAAATTCACTTG